TCGTTGTGATCTTCAGCTGTTGTTTCTCCAGCAGGTTCTTCTGATAGCTCATCACCTGTTACATCGTTGCCCTCTGCGGTATCATCTTCATCTTCAGAATAATCAACACCGGTGTCAGGAGCCTCGTGGACGTCTTTCGTTGCCCCCGCTGCCTCCTTGTGTTCAGATTCCCCCACATCACCTGCAGCACTGGGCACATCCTGGGCCGCGGTGGCTTCAGCCGCCTGTTCGTTCCCTTCGTCTTCACTTGAGCCTACAAGCTCCTTTTCATCAGAAATCTCACCTGCACTTTCTGCTTGCTCAGTTTCCTCTGGCGAGTCATCATCAACTGTGACCGTGGCATTGTTGTCATCTGCGGACTCATCGGCAGTGGTGACCAGAACTTCTTCTGCCCCCTCTTCTTCGCTGTCGGACTCATTTTCAGTTGCCGCCACAGAAGCCATCACGTCTTCAGTTTCTGCTCCCTCAGCCGATTCCCTTGAGGATGCATCGACTGTGGCATCGTCCTCGTCAACGTTCTTATCCTCAGCCATTTCCTCGCCATCCTCTTCATCTTGGTCAGATTCTAGTTCGCTCATGGCCGCCATCGTTTCCTCTTCTGCGTTTTCATCTTCAGCCGCGGCGTCTTCGCCGGCCTCTTCCTTCAGATCGTCCTCACTTGTTACAGCGATCTCCTTTTCTAGAGCGAGCTCATCTTCAGCCGTTGCTTTTTCAGCTGGGCCTGTCGATGACTCGTCAGTTCTGTCATCGTTCTCCTCTTCAGACTCATCTCCACTTGTGGCGGGAATCTCTTCATCGTGATCGACCCTCCCCGCTTCCTCAGCCTCGTCTTCGTCGGATTCATTTTCAGCTGTGGCTGCCGCATCGTCCTCTTCCTCATTTTCATCTCCAGCAGTGGTGGCTTCCTTTGACTCGTCCACGTCAACCTCTCGTTCCGTGCCAGTGTCATTCTCAGTTTCCGCCTCCTCTTTTGACAGTTCCTCAGCGGAGCGTGTGGCATCGCCCTCGTGCGCCTTCGTGAGCCGCTGTGTCCTCGTTCTCGCTTGCAGTACGATCTGCATCGTTGGCAGCAATTTCCTCTTCATCGACAACCATCCCTTATTTGCTTCTTCTTCGTGTGGTTTGGCTGCGGCAGACGCAACAGACCTTTCTATTTCTTCTTCGGCTCCGCCCACGTTCTCTACTGTGGATTCGGCCTCATCTGTGACAATGTTGGCGCCTTCCTTTTCTGCCCCTTCATCTCCTGCTTTGCTTATTTCCTCGGTGTCATCTGAAGGTAACATTTTTACTAGATGAGCAACAGTCAATTCCTCGACTGCCCCTCCTACTTTGTTGTTGCCTTCCACGAACGTCTCTGCTGCTTCTGTCGCTGCGTCATTTTCACAGTGAGATCCACAGGTGCTCGCAGGTGGATTGCCGGGAACCCCGTTCTTCGTCATCAGAATCCTCCTCAGGTCAAAGTCCAGAATGCGAGGTGCAGCATTCGGGACTTGCGGAGGCACGGACGCAACTTCTTTCTTGAAGCATGTCGCACACGGGCAACATTCATCTTCGTTCTCGCTGCGCTGGTCACTGTAAGATGTGCCTGTTGCTGACTCGTCACTTTTCTCTGCTTGGGGCTCAACTGATTGATTGAGCGCAATCTTCAGCCTCCGTCTACCCCCTCCCGTTGAAGCGCGGGATGTCCCTTCTTTAGGGGGTCTCGGTGTGGCTGCCTGTCCTTGAATTTTCCCCAGTTCCTTGTTTATACTTGTTTGGATTCTTTTCTGGACCTCGGTTTTCAGCTCACCAATCATTAAGTCGAGCTGCTCGCTGTCACCCAAGTTCCATCTGACTTTGAACTCGCGCATGGCGTCAACGTAGTGTGCCATGAACTGCTTTTCTATTGTGGTTAATAGCGTTAAGACCCATACAGGATCAGGATTTTGAGTCATTCTTTTGCAGTCATTTCCCGAACTCTTGCTTGAGGAGGGGGGTGTTTCAGATAGTTCTCTGGGGCTGTCATTGCTTCTAATTGTGTCGTCGGACGCCGGATCCTCTTCCTTTTGTTCGCCCAAATGTACTTCTACCTCCCGAGCTTCTGCTTCTGCTTCGTCTTCGCAGATTTTTTGCACGTTCCCTATCAAACCTGTTCCTGTAAGTGGTTGACACACATTAGCATTCACACCGTCGCTACTGTTCCCGGAGCCCGTGGAGCCGCTGTTGACGTCCACGCCAGAAGACGAGGTGTGATTGAAATCATCGTCCAAAGAATGGCGGTCGCACTTCTTTAGCGTTTTCTCTTCATTTTCCTGAGCGTCACAAAGCCAAAGAGATTTAAGAATATTCATCAGCTCTTGGTACCTTTCGTTCTTTTCGTTGGCATTTTCAGGGGTGTGATCTATTAACTGCAGCTTCACGAGGCAATCCAGAAGACCTCTGGCCGAAGTGCTCAGTTTGCGTCCGCACACGGGGGAGATTTCCGGCAAACTGTTGCATCTGTCGAGCTTGGGATTTAAAAGTACTTTCATCACCTGCACGGAGGAGTTGAATATTTTTGAGACATCATCTACTTCTGCATTCGGTGCGTCCGAGCGCGTTTGGCCGTCGCCATTCGGGACAACT